AGGTATTATGTGCAAGTGTAAGTTGAGCAGAAGGGAATGAATTAGAATATTAGTGACAGTTTTGCTGAGAATCAGAAAATGGTTTTAGTCTCAGATTATCATCATCAGCTAAAACCCAGGATAAACTTTGGTGAAATGCATTGGGGAAGAAAGCTTGAATAGGTTTCTTAAACCCAGAAATTGGACACCAGGAATTTATGCAAAAACCTAAAATGGGAAATTTTGTATTTGGCAAGAAAAGTAAATTAAACTGATACAAAATTGGGCTGGAGGAAAAAAGTTACGTATGCTTACTTGATATTTCTTGAAACATTGTTTTTAACTGTCATTTGTTACTGGAGTTAAATGCAAATAAATGTAGTGTTTAGTATATTTTTATACTGTTATTTTAATTTAAAATTTTTGGGTTGTTTCTTATTCTCATGTCATTAAATATAAAACAAATGTTATCATCTTTAACAGGCAAAACTTCAGGCATTTATATTTTAGCTTTTTAGATACTATGAAAAAGTACAAATTATTTTATCATATCTGGAAATATAAGCATATATTATAAAGTTAATATAAGCATAATTTAAATTATTAAAATATGGACTATTGATTCAGAAGTATAGTCATTTTAATAAACAGTTATTATTTAAATGTATTTACTCCGAAAGCATTTCTTACAAGCTACTAAGAGATCATTTTTTCCAAGAATCAGGGAAGTGATTGACGGTATAATTGAATATTAGTCCTTTAACAGGGAAAAAAAACTTTAAATCCCTTTTAATGTAGTAATGTTATTATCATAGGAAAATAAAATTTACTTAAAATTTCCGGTTATACAATATCACTAAACATTTTATCAAGTGATATTAACAATATCAAGTGATAAATTATCTTTTGCAAATGGTGGCAGAACTCTCTTTGTCAAGGTGCTTTGGTAGTTTCTACATTCATGGTAGCTCGTGCTGTTGACTTTCAATCTATCTAGAAAGATTGCACAAACTTGCTAGCTCCACACAAATCTATTAGGAATCAGGGTCAAAAATACTAGTAAGAAAGATTTCAGCTATAATCCCTAAAAAGTATGAAGTCCCCAGAAAACATCCTTCAGAAATAAAGAGCAAAAATAAAATATATCATTAAGTAAGATTTCTGAATTATTTTAGATCATTCCAAATGATATTAACAGTGTCAGCATGTCATCTTTTAGAATTAGAAGGCATCATAGCACTTCAACTCTATAAATGAGAAAACAGTATAAGATGATTTTCTGATCTTTTTCCATTAAGCATTTTAATTCTATTTCAAAATATCACTTGTACACAAGTAATAACTTCCTGAATTTGCTATTAGTTAATTAAATAAAGTAATATTCAATGAGTTTCAATGATAAATAAGAATTCCCCAGTAACAAACTCATATGTTTGTAAAGTAACAGCATTATCCTAAGTGTTTCTGAGGCAGAGGTAAGACAATTGGTTCTCTAGGCTTACACATAATTCAGAGATTTGACTCCTAATATATGCCAAAGATATACATATACCAATATCATTTTCAAAATATCTTTGTAAACTAAAAAAAAACAGTCTTATGTAAACAAAGAAAAAGTTCTATCATCATTATATGACTACAATTGATAAGATCAACATGGTTATATAGAAATCTGAGCGCAAAATCAGGCTAAGCCTTACATGGACTCTAGACCTTGACCATTGTAGGGATTCTGATGTGTCTTAGTCTATTGATTTGTAGTGGGCACACAATGCAAACTATCATTTAACAACCTTCACAAATTTCAGTTCTGGGCCTCCTCCTCCTCCTGGAGTCTGAATCCATACTGTTCCCTTTCATCTTATAAAACATGGAACAGATAAACCTCATTTCAAAAACAAGAAGGAAAAACAATCTATTTCATTCCCCCTGCTTTATTTACCTACCTACCTTAAATTATACTTTCGAAATCATTAGTGACCATGTTGTAACTAACCATTAATTCCTTAATTTTCATCTACCTGAGAACATTTCATTCTCTCTTTCCTTGAGTCCTGGTCTCCTATTAACTTCCAGGAAATTAGACTCTGTTGTTTCTATTTCTTCACATAAGATCATTCTGTTCCTTTTCTGCTTTTGTCTTCCTGCACCTGAATTATGTACAAATGCTAAAGCAATCTTTCTGTTCTTGTCTCTCTTCAAACTCACTAAAAGCAAATCTACTCTGTAGTCTTATCTATAATTTTGATACCAATTATCAAATCTATTTGAGATCTGACCTTTGAAATATACACTGATGTTCATATCAAACCACTTATAAAACCTCTCCTATTTCCTAAGGTACACATTTCTATCAGTAACTCAACTGGACATCTTGAGTTTGCTATTTTTACTCCCCTCTCTCCTAATTTAGTTCCTCTATCCAAACTCCAATCGCATCACATCACCCTTCAGTTTTTCATATCTACTCCACCAGAGAGACATCTTTCTAAAAAGGAATCTTAAGTTTTCCTCGAAAGTGGTCATGTCCTACTTAGTTTTTTCTTGTTTTTGTTTGGTCTCCTTACTTTCCAACTCTTTCTGTTGCAGAAGCATCGTGTATAAGGCTGTGTGTCATTTAGGTTCTCACTTTAGATTGCCTGTGTTTGGAAACTGACTGCTTTTCCTATCGGCTAGGCGAGTCAGCAAGTTGGTTTAGGTACTTGTGCTTGTAAAGTAAAATAATAACTTGTGCTTGGGTAAAATAATAGGATCTTCTCATACATATTTCTGAAAAATTAATTATATAGGAATATAGGAAGCTCTTAGTAAGCACTAAATAAATGCTAGACATTTGATGATATCAATCTCTAAACACAGGTTTTATTACATAACATACCAACTAGTTTTGTGTATCATAGCATCAATTAAATATTCTGTCTGATGTTCAAAGCTTCTAAACGTTGCCTTCTAAACATTTCTCTTGTTAATCCAGTATTCTTGTCACATTCTCTACTTTCTTCCATACCTCTTCACTGCATTTAATTTCATTTCCACAATTTTTCCAGACAATTAATTAGTCCTTTGACACCTTTACTGCATTTCTTTTTGGACTTTCCAAATTTTATACTTCTTTAAAATTCAACTCAAGTCCCACCTTCTTCCCGAAGTTTCTTGAATATTCAGAGAGATTTCTCTTTCGAAATAACATTTATTTTTCAAATTCAGTTCTAGAATCTCACGATGTCTGTTTTTTAATTACAATATACTTTTCCCTGGTTATATCTTACACTTATTGAGATAATTTATTTGATTCTCTTAGTCACTATACAAAAGCACATCTTGATGTCTCAATACTTTTTCATGATTAACTATTATAAGAAGAGATAAATATTGAAGAATTAACTTACAATAGATCCTAGCATCTCACATGCCACCCCAAAGAGTCTAAGTTTGTTACATGAAAAAAAAATTAAATGATCAATAGTCAGCTATTGATCATTAATTATTTATCAGGATAAATAGTCTAAATTGCTATGCACTGTGAGATTACTGTGACTTTTTAATTTGGAAACAAAAAGAAAATTATAGTGTATGTGTTAACACAGACGCTGATCCTCAGCAGCAGGTCCACGTGGGAAGCACAGCTGCAGAGGAAGGAGGATGCTGGAGCAACGACAATTCCATCTCACTGTTACACAAGCCCTGCTTCACCATCACAGTCTCTCTCTCCATTGGCCTATATTAAAAATACTAGCAAGAAAACAAGGAATTCCAAAGCAGGGATAACATTCAATTTATATATATATTTTTTCAGTTAAATGTATGAGGTAAAGATCTATGATATGTTAGCAATAGTAGAAATCACTCTACAGTCAGCCCTCTGTACCTGCAGGTTCCACATCCACAAATTCAACCGACCATGGATCAAATATATTAAAAAGAATACGAAAATGAAAAATGTAATGAAATTGTTGTTCTCCATCTTGCACTATGCTTAATAACTCTTTGTCCAGGTCATTGCCATCCTAACCAGGTAGAGAGCTGAAGGTAGCACTTGGATATGTTTTATTTGGCCAGCATTATGTTTCAAAAAATGATTGTGCACGCCTTCAGGCAGGACACACATCTTATTTATTCCCAATCTTCATTTTGTCTTGTTCTTGAAACCTTAAGTTTTGCTTAACCCCTGTCTCCAAACTCCTGAAGCCATTTGAATTTGTCATTCCTGGTTTAGGACTTGAGCAGATGTGCTTCGCCTATATTCTCTGGTTCCCTCTATCAATTAAAGTTTCTGATGAGTAAATTTATAGCTAATTATAATGAACTCGGGTGGTAGAGAAATTCTAGATTGTTGTGCAAAGCCTGTCTATTGAATCATTCTATTATTTTACACTACAATCAATTTCTATACACTGAGACATGTCTTCCATATTTCTGAAAATATTTTCTAAGAGTCAAATACAAAACTTATAATTTATGAGACAATCAGATCCTTACACACATTATATAAAGCAGTGTATTACCAAACCAAAAAACAAAGTTTCCAGTTTGCCAAAGATTTCTTTTTCAATATCAAATACAATGTTTCATACACACACACACACACACACACACACACACACACACACACATCCATATATTTGGTTTTACTTTTCTCAGTATTAACTAAAATGCTACTACATTTATAAATATCCTGTCACAAAATACATGCACTTATTTCTTCTTCAAAAGCATGCCAACATACTATTTGGACATATTTAAAAATATTTTTATTTCTACTACCTTGCATACCTATAGATAGCTGTTATCACAATGTGGATATTTACATAAGATAGCAATATACTCATGTTAAATATACATTATACTTGTAACATCTCACACATGGTCACTTCTCTATCATGTAGAATTGCAGTGGTTCATAATTATCTTAGTGTCAAAGACACAAAATTTCCAGTTATAATGAAATATAAAGCTTGTACCCAAAGAAAAAAGAGAAAACGAATCAGAATGAAAAGAAGTATTCTTTAAACTACTTGTACCTTTTTAATTGTCTTCTCAATCAGCATGTCTCCAACTGGCATTAGGATACCTCCAAACACAGCCAGAACCGCACCAATGACAGCCCCAGCGATGAGCCCACAGTTTCGATCACAGCCCATTATTCTTGTTCACGGGATGAATTAATGTTTCACGCTCCAAGATATGATTGAGGTGGTTTCTACAAGGTCTGGTTCTATCATCAGAAAGAAGTCATAAAACAGAAACTTAAATATCAGTATGAAAAGATCAAAGTACAAAGAAAACATGCAACTGGAACAGATTGTTTTGTCAGTATTAAATAAACAAATGCTTTTCTTTTTGTTTTACCAAATGGATTTCCTAGGTCTTTCCCCCTTTTTTTTGCTTCTAATTATCTACCACTGGCAGAAGTAATAGTGTCAGATTTGAATTTCTTCAAAGTTCTATTTTAAATTTTCTTTCTGTGGATGATTAACACATTGAAATCTTATCCAAGGAGAACTCTCACCCTCCGCTCTCTTCCCTCAGCCCAGGACACTTGGACACTTACTTGCATCCCATCCTCTAACTAGCTTCTCCACCCAAACACTACCATCCACACCCTCCCTGGAGTTCTCCTCCAAACAGATGTGGATGAACTGATATCTTTTGCATCTAAATGCTAAATATAGTAACAGATGTTTTATCATACCTTATTCATGAATAAACAGCAAGACATGAATTTTACAGGAAATGAACTGATGAGTCTCAGAATCAATTCTTCTAATCATTCGAGAGCTAGCTGTTTAGAACAAAAAACCATGGGTAAATGGAAACAATATATTGTCAGAAAATTAATACTAGGGTACTCTCTAATATCACCATAATTATAACCACTGTTAAAAGAGAATTTCATACTGAATTTATACCTGAATTTTTGTCCTATAAACAGTGTTTAAAACACTGAATTATTTTAAAGAAGTGTGCTTTATTTTCAATTTTATTGTTAATGACTTTTGGGTATAATATAGATGTAAAAAATTTGAAGAAAATACATAATGTAAAGGATGTCTTGCATTAACAATACACACTGCTTTCTTACTAATCTCAAAAGTTTTTTTTTTTTTTTTTTACCATATACAACTTATATTGTTTTGTCATACGCAGTTGATTTTCTGCCAATTCTGTTAAAAATCAACTAGTTTGTGCTAGTATGTATTTCAGTTAATCTTATTTTTGGTATTTTTGTATAGTATGTGGTTATTATATAAAGAATAGAATAATATAATGTATGGAATGATTGGATTCAATTATAATGAAATTAATATGAATTTATTACTTATAACTAATATTTGAAAACACATTAATTTGAGCTATTTTATCATAATGGCATTTTTTAAAATAATGGCGTTGACCTGTCACTGATAGTCAGAATGTGCTTTGTGACTTATAAACTATTCTCAACTTCAAAATACCCATGGCCAGAGAAAACATACATGCCAACAGAAAAGAGGGCTACAGACAAAAGGGAGGCACACACAGAATGTTCTTGTTATTGTCAGTTAAGTAATAAAAATTATGGTTCGTTATGGTTTCAGGTTTTGCCTCTACAGCTTTGTTGCAATAGAAGTACCACTTTTAGGATTTTATGAGTGTTTATTTCTGCTTGAAGAACTAAATGGTTCACTTAAGGAACCATTTAGTTTTTCAAAAATATTATTTGCATAGCTAATAAGATTGTTTCCCAAAATGGAGAAAGACAAATGTTACAAAATTTTTCCTTGGCAATTTTATTTATTTATTTATATACCCTTTCGTACCCTTTAGGATTTCTCTTTACCTACTTCCTTATACCTGGGCACTTCTGTAAATCACAGGATGCAGCAAACTCATTCACACCAATGCCTTTGTGACGCAACAGCTTGAGTATTTCATTAGTGTTGTGTTCTTTTCAATGTAAAAGGAAAACACATAAGCCTAAACAAATGATTTAGTTTTCCTGTGGAAGTTTATGTCTCACTGAGCAAGTGGGGCTGACTTTTAATTAACAGTTTGTGGGCGGGGGTAGTAGGAAGAATCACTTTCCCTGCCCCCTTGAATCATGTAACATGCTACCTCCTATGGTTTGACCAGAGTTGTCATAATACAATAGGACAAGTTATTTAAGGCTGATGATAAGAGCTAGATATTATCAAATGGAATTTTCTCTGCCAAGTATAATTGTAAAGCACCCTAAACTTTTCTTGAAACACAATCTTTTAAGCAACCATAGTACTTGCTAAATAGAGAATACCATTCTGGTATTCTGCATGCTGTGAACGAATAATCATACTACCCTGAGTATGTTAAGCACATAACATTTTACTGAATGCACATTTCACAGATCATCCCCCAACTCTTATTTGCTAGTTATACTTAAGGACGCAATCAAAATACAGGGATCCAACCTGGTACAATTGAGACTAGGAGTCTAGAGATTAAATCAAAGATTAATTTACAGCCCTCTTTGTAGGTGACAGTGAGTAAACCACTCTATACCTCAGTTTCCTCATGTGTGAAATAACATGCTAAGGTGATACTAGCAGTTTTTAATTTAAGCAGCTGAACTGGTTCCTCACTTCAATTCTTGCATGGAAGACCAATGGGCAAAAATGACTGTAATTACACAGCTGAGACTCATTCCTAACTCGTTCTCCCCACTCCTGTCTCCCACTCTCCTTCCCCACTTTTAGGAAGCTCTAGGAGAACCTCTCTAGAATCCTATGGTTTTGAGAGTGCATAAGAAAAAAAATGCAGCAAGAAACACCCAGTGTTAAATTCCAGTTTTGTGAATATACCATGAATCCATTTAACTCAAAGATTAAGTTCTTTCTTTTGGAAAGTTAATTTATCATGTCCTATATAAACTTCACTAATAATTATCCATTCAATTTTGATGTCATTTTCAACTTTGATGGATGGAATATAAAATGATTTTAAGATTATAAATCTATTGCTGTTAAGACAGATATATTAGTATCTATTTGCCATTTCCAGATTCTATGCCACAACCTCATTGTGAATCTATCTGGCCTTTTCCAGAGTTATTCTTCAAGTAGCCCCATGCATTACAAGGAATAGTTTTTACCAGGGGCAGAGTTATAAGAGTGCCCACTGGAGAACTCAGGGAATAGCAAATGTTCTCTGATGCCTCCCTCTCTAGATCTGAAAACTAATTACAACTTTTATGGACTCTGAGCCCAGATATCTTGAGAAATGTATAGGCATGGGAACTGCCTAGCTCTGTCTGCTTAAACTTAAAACTGAAGTGAAATAGTGTACACATCCCAGTGCTGTTGAGTCAACTTCTTTAGAAAACAGAAGTGTCAATTAATTTATTCTGTTGAATCATGTGGTTGGACAGTTATTAGTCTAACATTGGTCTGGATATGATGGGATACAATATAGGCAAAGATACAAGTGTTAGTCTAACATCGTTTCTTCTATGCACTAATAAATTAAGAGAGAGAGAGAGAGAGAGAGAGATTTTCAATCAATTGATTCACTTTTATTACCTTGCTATACGTTTCTACTTTTTTCCTACGAATAGGCAAGATAATTGATTCATTTATTATTAGTGAATGCTGCGACACCATGAATAATTAAATATTTTATTATAATCATAATTTGTCATGCTGCATAACATCTTCGGAGAGAAAGGGTAGCTCGTCAACTCTTCCATTATATTTAGCTCTTTAGAGCATGTGAAATTGGGGTCTTCCATACTCAGTTTTCTTAATAAACAATTTTTTACATATTAAAATAGGTAATCAATTTCATTTGTTAACTTTGGGTTAAATTTTATTTTTTACTAATTATTTGTCCTTTATAAGAAAGATAAAACATTGATACTGTATCTGTAATAATTTAATTTCTGCTTTGAAGTACTTAAATTTAAAAATAAAAAATAGATACAGAAAAGAAAATAATTATTGAGACTTGTGTAAATAGGGAAGATAAAAAGGCATGTTTTAAGATGCCACTAATTATATACCTTTCTTGATTCTAAAGCTACATCAGCTGTCTTCTATCCAGTTTATATACTATAAATACTATTCATTTTTTAGAGTTCACTAGTGGATCCTATTCCTCTGGCTGTCTTTGAAAGAGGGAGGAACAATAGAACTTCCTTTACTTTGGGAGGGGTTTGTCAAATTAGCAGAGTGTTCTATAATGAACTTTCAGGCAAAATACCCTTACACTATGCTGGGAACCTAAGCTAAACAGAGACTGAGCTTTTTTAAAACGTTTTTTAAATTTTTCATTGTTATTACAAAGCCTGCAGCAGGCTGAGCTATGAGAAGCCTCTCCAGTACATAGACCAGAACATTAAAGCAAGTCACCAGAGAATCTATAATTATTCCCATGTGTGGATAAAGCTGTGTTCCCTGGGAAACTTTACTCAGAAAAGGCATAACCCAGAGGTAACATTTGCTGGGATGTGAACTATGAAATTTGCAAAAGCTTGGATTTCCAGAGTACATGTACCATAAATGAGTGATAGACCCGAACGACATTTTCTTATTGACCAGTGGTTCTAAAATTTTCAGCTATATCTATAAGCCCTCCTTTTACTTTTTCTTAGGACAGAAAACTAGACCACATACCTCTGATTTTCACGATCATTCACTGAATACACAAAGTCTTTCTAAGTAAAAAATATAGCATCTTCACTTAAAACACAGTTTTTGGAGTTTTTAAGGGGGACTAATTCAATAATAGGTTAAATATGAGTATAGAAGTTAGCTTTCAGAATTATTTTTTTACATTCTTGTCCTATGACATAACTACATGTGTTAACAAAGCCATGGTTCTCTATACATGAGTCAGATGTAGATTCAAATCCAAGGCAGTAGAAATGGGTGCAAATCAATCATTTAAATCTGATAATGTTTCATCATGTGGAAATAGGTCATTAGGTCAATCTTTATAAACTTCTGTTTGGAGATAGAATTCTCCTTTCAAGTTAAATTTTTACAGACAATATCAATATATAAAGACAGTTTAAAAAGGGGTGGGCGGGAATATAGCCAGGCATGGTGGCTCATACCTGTAATCCCAGCACTTTGGGAGGGTGAGGTGGGAGGATCACCCTGGCCAACTTCTGAAGCCAGAAGTTGGAGACCAGACTCAGCTACATAGTGAGACCTCCATTTCTACAAAAATAATAAAAACGAATTAAAAATTTAAAAAGAAAAGGCAGAAATTGCCTCTTTTGCCTTCCAGTCACACCTCATTGGGGCTCTGAGTCATCTCCAAAGAACCCAAGGGCTCTGCCGAGCATTTTTAAATCACTGAATTAGGAGATCATCAGCACCTTATTTACACTATCACAGGTGCATTTACACCTTCCCAGAATATATGAAGGTAAAAAAATACCATAGAAAAAGTTTTATAGACATCTGTAATATAAAATAACATACTTTAGTAAAGTACATTGCAATTTAAAACTTGTTTTGATGGTAGTCTCAGAAATTTAATACAATAAATACACTGGGCTTCATATGTTATGCTCAGGATCCTTCCAGACACAAGCCCATCTTTTAGAGATTTATGAACCAGGGATTACTACAGGTTTGAAATGATTCTCTTAGAATTATATTGACCTAAAGACAATTGTCTCAAACTATTCTTAATCTTTGGAACCTTAGACAACAGGAAGGCTAATATCTTTTTTCCCCAACACACAAAATTCTTCTGCAAACAGAAAGATACTATAAGGTTTGCAGTGGTTAAGATTCTGGGCATTGTAGTCAAGAAATGTAGATTCAATTCTGGGTCTGAGTACTGAAGTTTGACTGTGATTCCATTTCATGTAAAATTAGTTCATGTATATCAAAATAGGTTGCAAGTATTAAATAAAATTAAATAAGATAA